TTATTCTTTCAAATATTTCTTTACAGTAATGTTTAATTATGTACATAAAAATATAGAATTAAATACTTTTTTAATTTCTTAAATATGAAATAAATTTATTTTTGTCCAGTAATTTTAAAATTATTTTTTCTGTCCTATAATTTAAAGAAAAAATATGCACTTAAATATGTTTTTAATCCTTGTAAAATGAGCAAGTTTTAATTTTGGTTCTTGCAAAAAAATTCTTTATTTTTAATCCCTATAAAATTTAGAACTATTGTTTTTAGTCTATGTTATTATATAATCATTTTTTAAATACTTAATTGTTTATCAAATGTTAAGTGATCATCTCAGATTTTACCCATGACTATAGTAATACCATGTTAAAATGTGACACCTTTAAATTTTTTTATAAGTTCTTAACATAAATGATATGTATCTACTTTAAAATCAAAGTTAAGGACCAAAAAATAGTAATTTTTACATTTTAAAGAGATGAAAATTGAAGAAAAAATTATAAGGACTAAAATAAAAAAAATACTCATTTTACAATGACAAAAAATATTTACATGGATGAAAAAACAATGTGTACAAATTTTAGAAAGATGAAAAATAAAGAAAATATTACATGGACCAAAATTAAAATTCACTGAATTTAGAGAGACTAAAAACATAATTAAACTTTATCTTATTTACAAAATATATATATATATAACTTAAATAAATTGCATGTAAAAATAATTTAAATATTCTTTGTTACCTTAATTTTCTTCATTAATATTTTATATTTTATTACTTATTTTAGCACTAAACTAACTAAAGTTAATAATAAAGACTAAAAATGAACACAAAAATGTCAAAGGATTTAAAAATAACAAAAAAATTTAGAGGTACTAAAACAAGATAGAATTATATTTGCAAGGACCTTAAAACATATTTAAGTCTTGTTTGAATGAATAAAGGATAAATGAGTCTTAAGAAAAGTGAAAACCAAAAGGTAATATCTCTTTATATATATAGATTAAAATTTTATATTTTATGACTTATTTTAGCACTAAATCCTTTATATAGTATAGATTAATATTTTATATTTTGTTATTCATTTGAGCACTAAACTATAATTAGAGTTAGTGATAATGACTAAAAATGAATACTAAAAAATTATCAAGGATATAAAAATGACAAAAAAAACTTTACAAGACCAAAATAAGACAAAGAGATATTTACAGGAATTTGAAACAAATTTACGTCTAGTTTAAAATTAAAGGATAAATAAAAAAAAGTGAAAATCAAAAAGTGGTATCCCTTTATATATAGTATAAATAAATAGGTTAATCTATAAGACTTAATTTTTATTTTTTGTTAAGTTTAACCTTTTTAAATAAACAAACATTTTTAAAAGTGTAAATATGACCTTTTGTTAAATAGGCCAGGACAGGGTGGTACACTTTAAATATGTTAGATGATGCGTCTCTATTTAAGATATAACATATTCTCATCCTTAATTTGTAACATCCTCTTTTTCATAAAATAAAATATAAGTATTTTATTAATAATATTAGTATTTATAATATTTTATTAATTAGAGCTATTTAATATTTATTTAATTATTCGGTATGTTTTGATATAATATAGTGTATTTTATTAAAAGGTTATTATAATATTTTATTAACTAAAAGGGAAGGAAATTTGTAACTGTGGTTAATATATTATAACTAGAAGGTTAAGGGGAGGTTGAGATTTTTAAAAGAGCAAATTTATGATCAAACTCATTTTTACACCTTCTTATGTACGCACTTCTTTCACACTTCAGAGCTCGGAAGACAAGAGTAGCAAGGAAATCATCTCGAAACTGGTCATCTCAAATTCATGTAATTTCGATATATGTGTTGGGGTAGTAAGGGTGTCACAGAGAGGGTCACCTTGTGTGTGGTGATTCGTGGCTCTTAGACTGCCTTGTAATTGGTGATGATGAGTTTGGTAGCACGTGCAAGTAGAATTAGGAACATACATCACAAGAATCCTTATTTCCTTGTGTGTGCTTTGCATGTTGGATATGTATGTATTATATGATTGATGTTTAATTGTGAATGTATATCATGTTAGTATTATTCAGGTTCCTTGTATGTGTTATGCATAGATGAGATATATTCTTGCTCCTTGCACTTGTTGTTGTGTTTTGTTTGGGTTGGTCATTATTACAAAAGTAGATCAAGTGCATGAGGACAAGTTTGGTGAAGGAAAAGCTTCATGCTTCATTTGTTGTTTTGGATTTTGCTTTGATGGTGTAACTAAGGATTATGGCAAATAAACTTGTACATGTGGATAATGCTCGAACTCATTCTGACTTTGACAATGAATATCCAATTTTATTGTACACGAGTACAAGTATAGGTAATACCCACTTTGTTAAATCGGGAATGGAAATGGGAATAAGTATATACTTACCTGCCCAATCCTTGTCCCTATACTTGTACCCACTTTAAATTTTTCTAAAACAATTCCAATTTTAATCCCATCCTGGCTTACTTTCTTACCCTTACATTAGGGTTATGAATTAGAAGCACTTCAAACATTAGGGTTATGAATTCTTTTAGACGACATTTGTCTCCCCCTCTCTCTCTTAGTCTCTCTGGTTGTACAATGTGGGCAGTCTAGTGAGTGGCACTACAAAAAAAGTTAAATTTCTCACAGATAATTTCCCACGGACAAAAATCTGTCAGAAATTTCCCACGGATTTAGATCCGTGGGAAATTTCTGACGGTATTTTCGACAGATTTTTAAATGATGGAATTTCTTACGGAATTTCTCACGAATTGAAATCCGTCTGAAATTTCTAAACAGAGTTTCCCACGGATTTAAATCCGTCTGAAATTTCTGAACAGAATTTCCCACGGATTTAAATCCGTCTGAAATTATTAAATGAAATTTAAGCTAATTATTTTTCAAATGCAACCAATCTTAATCGCATCGATACACACAACAATGCACTATATAATATTTTCATTATTATGTTTTCAAAATTCTTAAATAAATATGCCCCTAAAAATCAAATATAAAAACATAACCCTAACATATCTTAAAAATAGTGCAAAAAGGAAGTATATTGTCCATTCCCCACCATACTGACCATTTTCTCCTCTTCCCTCCTTTTTAGTCTATGTTATTATATAATCATTTTTTAAATACTTAATTGTTTATCAAATGTTAAGTGATCATCTCAGATTTTACCCATGACTATAGTAATACCATGTTAAAATGTGACACCTTTAAATTTTTTTATAAGTTCTTAACATAAATGATATGTATCTACTTTAAAATCAAAGTTAAGGACCAAAAAATAGTAATTTTTACATTTTAAAGAGATGAAAATTGAAGAAAAAATTATAAGGACTAAAATAAAAAAAATACTCATTTTACAATGACAAAAAATATTTACATGGATGAAAAAACAATGTGTACAAATTTTAGAAAGATGAAAAATAAAGAAAATATTACATGGACCAAAATTAAAATTCACTGAATTTAGAGAGACTAAAAACATAATTAAACTTTATCTTATTTACAAAATATATATATATATAACTTAAATAAATTGCATGTAAAAATAATTTAAATATTCTTTGTTACCTTAATTTTCTTCATTAATATTTTATATTTTATTACTTATTTTAGCACTAAACTAACTAAAGTTAATAATAAAGACTAAAAATGAACACAAAAATGTCAAAGGATTTAAAAATAACAAAAAAATTTAGAGGTACTAAAACAAGATAGAATTATATTTGCAAGGACCTTAAAACATATTTAAGTCTTGTTTGAATGAATAAAGGATAAATGAGTCTTAAGAAAAGTGAAAACCAAAAGGTAATATCTCTTTATATATATAGATTAAAATTTTATATTTTATGACTTATTTTAGCACTAAATCCTTTATATAGTATAGATTAATATTTTATATTTTGTTATTCATTTGAGCACTAAACTATAATTAGAGTTAGTGATAATGACTAAAAATGAATACTAAAAAATTATCAAGGATATAAAAATGACAAAAAAAACTTTACAAGACCAAAATAAGACAAAGAGATATTTACAGGAATTTGAAACAAATTTACGTCTAGTTTAAAATTAAAGGATAAATAAAAAAAAGTGAAAATCAAAAAGTGGTATCCCTTTATATATAGTATAAATAAATAGGTTAATCTATAAGACTTAATTTTTATTTTTTGTTAAGTTTAACCTTTTTAAATAAACAAACATTTTTAAAAGTGTAAATATGACCTTTTGTTAAATAGGCCAGGACAGGGTGGTACACTTTAAATATGTTAGATGATGCGTCTCTATTTAAGATATAACATATTCTCATCCTTAATTTGTAACATCCTCTTTTTCATAAAATAAAATATAAGTATTTTATTAATAATATTAGTATTTATAATATTTTATTAATTAGAGCTATTTAATATTTATTTAATTATTCGGTATGTTTTGATATAATATAGTGTATTTTATTAAAAGGTTATTATAATATTTTATTAACTAAAAGGGAAGGAAATTTGTAACTGTGGTTAATATATTATAACTAGAAGGTTAAGGGGAGGTTGAGATTTTTAAAAGAGCAAATTTATGATCAAACTCATTTTTACACCTTCTTATGTACGCACTTCTTTCACACTTCAGAGCTCGGAAGACAAGAGTAGCAAGGAAATCATCTCGAAACTGGTCATCTCAAATTCATGTACGCAAGGTTGTTAATCTTGAGAGTTTACATAATCTTGTGGAGGCTCCGTAAACTCGTAAGAGATTACTCAATAAAAAAATTATAAAAATAATTAGAAATAACATGATAATTGAACATTTTAACTCCATATTAAAGAGTAAAGTAGCAAATTACATTAATAATAAAATGTCAAAGTTCTTAACAAAAGTTCACACAAATGACAAAACACAAGTTCTTAAAAATAGACAAATAAAAAACTAAGACATCACATGGAGAATAGCCTCAAGAAGTGGCGCGACTCAGGGAGGAGAAGATAGAGGATCGTAAAAATGTTTGTAAAATTCCTCCGATCAATAACAAAAATATAATTCTCCTCTTAAATAAATATGCCCCTAAAAATCAAATATAAAAACATAACCCTAACATATCTTAAAAATAGTGCAAAAAGGAAGTATATTGTCCATTCCCCACCATACTGACCATTTTCTCCTCTTCCCTCCCATAACTCCTTGAAACTTATTATACTTATGCATAGTACAAATATGAGATTGTATATTTGAGGATGAATTAAATAAATTAATTTGTACAAGTTATATTGACAACACAGATATACATTTCGGTAGCTTATTCATTAGAACTTTACAGTTAAGCGTGCTTGAGCTGGAGTAGTACTGGGATGGGTGACCTAATGAGAAGTTTCCCAGAAATTTCACAAGTAAGGATAAAACACGCTAAACAATGAAATATCGTGAAATAGAACCCTTGAGAGGTCAAATATGAGAGTTGTTACATAAATAAATTTATTAAAATTTAAAAAAAAATTATAATTTTTGACGAAAAATTCTTTCAGGGTAATTTCCCACAGATATATCCGTGGGTAAATCTGTGGGTAATTACTCACGGATAAATCCGTGGGAAAATCCGTCAGAAAGTTACCCACGGATAAAAATCCGTCGGTAACTATTTCAGACGAGCAATTTACCGACGGATTAGTGTCCGTCGGTAATCCTTCGGAAATGCACTATTACTCACAGATTTTTGGCATTTCCCACAGATTTTGGCCGTCTGTAATAGCGAATTTTCTTGTAGTCTGGGTTGAGTGGCAGTTGGGCATGGCGGGATGAAGGCTTGAGGGGGGCTAGTCATGCAATGGCCAAGGGTTAGGGATTGGTCACACAATAGCTAAGGGAGTGGGAGTTGGCTATGCAGCGAATGAGGGTTGGTTGTGCAACGACTGGGGGTTGGGGTTGATCAAGTGGTGGTTGGGGATTAAGGGTAAGTTGTGCAACAACTAAGGGTTGGTCGTGCATGTGGCTTTGATCTCCACCCCTACTGCACCAAGCTTTTGTTGCTCCTCCACGATAGCGAGGTGAAGCATGTTTTTACAACTTGATTTTCATTTTTACAAATTGGGAAACTCAACTAGGGGTTAGCCTTGGATTTCATTTTGTTTTTTTTTTTTGTAAAAGAAAAAATTTAATTAATTTTTAGTAGGTACTAGTATACATGATACCCAGTAGGGATGAGGATGGAATACAAATTTCATAATTGTCAAGTATCGGGAATGGGAATGGGTATTAGATACGAATGCGACAATGGAAACGAAAATATTGAAACCCGTACTCATTCTGTCCATTGTCATCTTTTACCACTACTGGTATTTCTTTTAAAAAAATATTTATTTATAATGATTTAGGATAAAAGAGTGTCACAACCACCACTATTATTAGTTCCAATAATATTATAATCATGTGGCAACAATAGTGGTAATAGTTATACTGAAGTTGAAGGTGACAATAATAGTGGTGATGACAGATGTGTCATTAGCACTAGTTGTGAAGGCAAGGCAATAAAGTGGAGATGACAAAAGTCGATTTGACAATAATAATTAACAATGACAATAATAATAATAACAAGGACGAAAGTGGTGGCGGAAACAAGTGGTGGTGATGATGATGATGAAAGCAAAGATGGATGATGGTTATAACAATAAGTGTTGATGGTTACAACAATGATGATAGTGGTAGAGGGGGGCCATGGCCTCGAGAACTTATTTGGGATATATATATATATATATATATATATATTGGAGGGTTCAAATGACACCGATGTAACTTTTACTAATTGTTACACCACTCAGTAACTTTATATTGATTTTGAATTTTGAAAATCTAATCGTTAGATTGAAAGTTTATATCTCTTAGATCATATATATCAAATTTTGTTAAATTTGAACAACAATTTGAAGGTAATCAAAGTGTTCATATTTTAGTATATTTTGAAATGAATATATTACGTCAATTTTGTTTTATGAGAATGAAGTATCAAATCATCTTGGATTAATATAAAATTTTGTATATATGATATAAGAGATATGAGCTTTCAATCTAACGGTTGGATTTTCAAAATTCAAAATTAATATAAAGTTATTGAGCGGTGTAACACTTAGTAAAAGTTACACCGGTGTCGTTTGAACCCTCCTCATATATATATATATATAT